TTAGTTATTTTTTTTGAAGGAAATCCTTCAAGGGCGGGGGGAGATGGTTGCGCGGAAAACCATTCGCGTTTTTATTTTTGACGGTAGGAACTTGCCGAATCATTATCCCTTTCCAAAACGATATCATTCGTACCCTCCTATCGACACATCGGGGTGATGGGGTGGGAGGGGAAAGAAGACGATTCTAGAACATCGCGTAATCACCGGAGCCGAGGATATATAAGACACGCGCGACCGACGCGCGCCTTCTCTCTTCCCGCGCGCTCGTTTGGAAACACCTCACTAGTGGAAACCGCTTTGGCCTGGAAGCAGTCGAGCTCCAGGAACCCGCCTCACCTCGTGTGAGATATCGTCGCGCACCGCCTCTCTCCGGAGTGTTCCAGAAGTCGCTATAGTGATCGACAGGATAGAAGAAACCCCGGTGAGTCAGTATTCCTTAATTTACTGCCTGATTAATATTTAATAATTGTTTTAACCCGTTCCAATTCTGTGTTCTCCTCATCAGGCAGGATTCCTTTCATCGATTTGGCAAGTAATAGTTTTAGTTTAGGGAAGAGCGAGTGCATTGTACCGCATGCTATAGTAGTCGCTTTTACGTAAGCGTAGAAGCAATCGCAAATACAGTCCACTTTAGTTAATATCTCGCGTAATAGGTTTGAGGTTTGACCGGGGAACTAGATTTTCGGCAGCCTTAAACACGTGGCTCCACCAATGTGTAGTAATAGTATATGAACAAGTGTAGATGAGTTACTTACCTTATAGTTGTTAGAAAATATACATGTGTTGATTACCTAAGTAACCATATTGCAGTTATGTAAAATAATTTATAGTCGAAAATAATGCTTGTGCTTATCTTTCCTTGCATTCACTTTCATTTATGTTGTTGTTTATATCTATTGTAACAAGCGTGTTGTTGTAACCTATTGTGTAATCTTGTTTATACAAGGTGGCCCATAAGTCGTTAGAAATGTAAATTTCGAATAAAATACAAAAGGCGCGCATGAGTGGCGCGCGCGGTGCGGGGGGAGTACCGACGGTTTCTGGGAATTCAGTGAAGTTTCACGCGGTGCGGACCGTGCATTTTGTGTGCGCGAGTTTTATCGAAACAATGATTCGGCTACCATTGCGCGGCGTAAATTTCGAGAATATCAGAATTTACGCAACTTTAAAGACATTCCAAGTGTTCAAACGATTAAGAACTGGGTTATTAAGTTCGAAGAGAGTGGTTCGACGTTGGATAAACAACGGTCAGGTCGACCAAGGTCATCACGGACGGAAGAAAACATCGATGTAGTGAAACACTCAATTCGTAAAAATCCTACCCAGTCTACTCGTAAGCGTTCCAGTGCATTAAACTTACCCAGAACATCGTTACAGCGAATTTTAAAGAAAGATTTACATCTTCACCCGTACAAGATTCAGATAGTACAGGAATTAAAAGATACTGACACTATCCACAGACTAAATTTCGCAAATGAAATGTTGAACCGCTTTACTTCGTTTAATAACGTGTTATTCTCTGATGAGGCTCACTTTCACATCAACGGCCATGTCAATAAGCAAAATTGTCGCTACTGGAGTTGCGAATATCCAAATCGCAAACATCAAAAGCCCTTACATAGCCCTAAAGTGACAGTTTGGGCGGCTATGTCAGCGCATGGCATTACAGGCCCTTACTTTTTTGAGGACGGCAGAGGCCGCGCGCTTACTGTTACTTCACAACGGTATGTAGCTATGATCCAGGACTTTTTTACACCAGAGTTGCAGAATTTTGCCAGGCTTCAATACGCGGACCTGGTTTCAACAAGATGGAGCAACTGCCCATACCTCTAACGTCGCTGTGCCGGTCGTCCGCCAACTTTTCCCTAATAAAGTGATCTCTCGAAGAGGAGATATTCCTTGGCCACCACGTAGTCCAGATCTGACCCCAATGGACTTTTTCATATGGGGTTATCTTAAGACTAAAGGGTACGAAACCAACCCGCGGACAATTGACGTCCTGAAAGAAAATATCCAAAGAGAAATGGCAAACATTACAGAGCTTACTTGCCGCGCAGTGATGGATAATTTTAAACGTCGCTTACAGGAGTGCCGCGATCGTAACGGATTACATTTAGATGATGTAATTTTCAAAAAATAATTCCCATTTTATAAGGATTATGACAAAATGAAAACCTTTTTCATAATGTCATTAGTTTTTTTTTAATTATTTTTTTTTACATTTCAAGGGACTTATGGGCCACCCGGTATATTCACATTAAGACTGTGTTCTTTGGGGGGCGGAATGTTAAAGCGAGTACTTACCTAATGAATGTTACCTATAACTATAGTTCGGCCGTTCAGAGAATGCGTTCCTGACACCTATCAGTTAGTCACGACTAGTGATGGGCACAACATAACACCGAGTTCGTTACCGTTCCTCCAAAATGAACCGCCGCGTTATTTTTAAGATTATTTTCGTTTTAAATTGGCGGAAGCATTTAAAATTTATATTTTAGTAATTTAAGTGGAAACCAAAAAAAGGTAATAATAATATAATAAAATTGTTTTATTTATTCTAAGTTACAATCTGTATTTCTATGCAATAAAGTATATTGAATTGAATGTGCGTACAGAATATTAATCAGACTCCGATTCGCTTGAGGAGGTAGTGTCTTCATCATCTTCGCCTACATGTATAATTATATTATTATCAATAACAGAATCAATCCTTATATCTCGGTCAAAATGTTCCACAATCAGGTTTTTAGTCTTTTCAACAACCTTTACCCAGTCATCTCTTGTGACTTCCCCGCAGGCTTCTTTTAATAGAGTCATCATCTTTTTCGTGCTGAATGGCGGGGAAGTATTGTGGCGGGCGGCGTAACCTTTTATTTGAGCCCAGATTAGCTCAATCGCGTTATATTGGCAATGATACGGTGGAATTCTTAGAACGCGATGACCGTACTCCAGAGCCATCGAAGTCCAATTTAGCGCCGATGTCAGTTTGAAAAGCAGAAATAGTCCATTAAACGAAAGCCGGGTAATCAAATAAAAACAGATCGAAAACACTTGAAGAACGTGGTCTATGCGCACGAAACGACAACAGACGACTGTTTTAGCGTAACAAAATGGCGGCCCATAACGCCATTTGGGGTTACCATTTTCAACCTAAATATAAAAATGCAACTTTCTTTCGCGCGTTCGGTTTGGTCGTATAAAAAAAAAAAAATTAAAAAAAAAAAAATTTTTCAGCACCACAAAAAAAAGCAAACCGCGCAAAAAAAACCTAAAATTGTAACATTCATTGATTAGTGATATAATAATGTTGTTTTAATGCTCATCAATTGTTAAAACGGTAAACAACCAGCAAAATTATTTTTATCGTAACTGCAACGCCATTACAAAGTTACATGGTCAGTTCAATCGCGACGTGTCAGGAACGCATTCTCTGAACGGCCGAACTATAGCTATCGATAGTAGTAAAATCATACAGTCCGCTTAGAAATGTTATCTGTAACGTCAGTGCAAAATAAAACCTCGTATCGTCCTTACGTCTATTTATTACAAAATCCTGCTTAATCAAAGTCAACCTTAGCGCTCTAGACAGTAAACATTAACATACTAATAAAAATACATACATACTTCTTGTTTAAAGGTCAAAACTAAAATACTTTTAATTGTTCAATAACATATTCGATGTGACATAATTTACGTCATTTTGCAGATAACTTACGATGAAAGAAATGTTTTTGATTGCGTCAACGCACACCTATGCATTTCGTATTTGTTGATGTGTTTGTTAGTTGAGTTGGCCGGCATAAACTACCCTCACTTACGTTCCTTCCCCGCACGGACCTGCTTAACGGGGGGAGCAAGATACTGGTGGACGCATCTTTGATCCTCCAATGAGAGGCACGCTCCGCCAAGGTGAAAGGGCAGACGGCGGGAGTTATAAGAGGACACCCACCGCCCCCAGAGCACCCAAGTACAATACAATTTTGGTCATGTCAGTCGACAACAGTTCGCAATTATCATCGTGCCCGCATGGCCGTTGAGAGGAAGCCGCTCGCCGCCTCCCCAGGTAAAAGCCTCTCCTCATTTATGGGCTGTTTAGATTTTAGTTTCGCTTCCCACCACTGTGAGTACTGTACGCCATACTGTTTGATTTTATCGTCAAAACGCAATAGTTTATCTTTCTATTTTAGTAGCCGCACTGACATTATTATAGGTAAATGGACGCCTATTTTATTTAGCTCGTCCCCGCAGTAGATCTCTACATACTTCCATCGCACCGCTATTCATAATATTTTATATGAATTTATATACTAGTGTATTCCTGCATAAATACTTGATTTGATTTGATTAGTGCACGCTACAAATAGCCACGCCTTCTGCATTCTCCCGTAGTCGTATTATGTCGCTCACAATTACATTCGACTTGTTTACGCATAAATCGTTTCGTTAGTTTGGATATTTGTCGTTGTACCTGCTACGTGCAATTGACCGCGCTTTCTATTAGAATTTTTTGCATCTTGTAGTGTAAATACCCGGATAAGAAGTTTACTTGTGTCGAAGTATTTTGATTTAATATTATTTCGTGGGACAGTAACGTGTCACTTGCTTACACATTATTACTTACACAACATTACCTGATTTATTGTTGTTTGGAATAGAATCAGCGCCGGGTAATAGTTATCCACTCGTACAAATAAATACGCCGTTAAATTTTTTGTTCGCCGCTACGCGACTTGCTCCTTTGGTTTGATATTAGTTATTGTACTTGATTAGGGTCCATTGGACCTAGCTCACCCGCCTCTCCCGTCTCAGTGTTCCGCAAGCCATGGAGTCAATCACACGTGCCGTACGGAGATGCTTGGGATCCAACGGACCTCGCGCGACTAATAGTTTTGTACAAATTCGGTAAGTACAATGATGAACATTTCGTTATTTCATCTCACAATATTATGCAAACTTGTGTTTCATAATTATTTGTTAAATTTTACAGGTTAAAGAACACAATGGCAAGCCACTTGAATTTAGAGCAAATATCAAATCTGCTAAATGAAGATGAAGAGGAGCCATTTGATGAAAGCGACGATGAGTTAGGCATCGGAGAACACTTAGCTGAACAACAAAATGATAATTCTGACTCTGAGCAGAGAGAAACCGACTCAGAAGATGAAGCAGGGCCATCTTCATCACAATATTATATAGGCAGGGACAAGCAAATCAAGCCGAAGAATAAGACAAAGAGCTCACAACATTGTTTTGCATTTACCTGGACCAAAGGGAGAAGCTAAGAATGCTAAGAGTAAGACAGATTGTTTCAATTTATTTTTTGATAAGAATATAGTAGATTTAATTTTAAAATATACAAATGAATATATTGATCAAAAAATACGTACACGTTTTCAAAGAGAACGTGACGCAAAAAATTTGACTAGCGATGAATTACAAGCATTTTTTGGATTGCTAATGATGTCTGGTGTTCTCAGATCTTCACATCTGAATTTTCTTGATCTTTGGGCAAATGCTGATACTGGAATAGAATTTTTTTCTGATGTGATGTCTTCTCGACGTTTTCTGTTTATACTTCGTTGTCTAAGATTTGATAATGCATCATCGAGAGAATCCAGATTACGGCTTGATAAATTGGCACCAATCAGAGAATTTTGTGATCTGATGGATGATAACTTCAAAAAACACTACACGGTTTCCGAGTACGTTACAATAGATGAGCAATTGCCAGCATTTAGAGGAAGATTCTCTGGTTTACAAATATAACAAATATGGGATCAAACACCATGCTATGGTTGACGTCAAAACAGCTTATCTTCTAACATTTAAGATTTATGTAGGTAGACGGTCAGACGGTCCGTATAAACAACCAAATGATACAATTAGCATCGTGAAAAAACTTGTCGAACCAATCAAATGTACGGGGCGTAATATCACATTTGATAACTGGTACACTAGTATACCTCTAGCAAAAGACTTGTTACAATATAAGCTGACTTTGGTCGGTACACTACGAAAAAACAAGAAGGAAATTCCATCACAATTTTTACCTCAAAGGACAACTGAAGTGCATTCGTCAAAATTTAGTTTTTGTGAGGAACTAACTCTCGTTTCATATGTTCCGAAAAAATCTAAGGCTGTGATTTTACTGTCCACTATGCATCATGATAAAGCTATTTGTGAAGATGACCAGAAAAAGCCGGAAATAATAGAATTTTATAATAAGACGAAGTGTGGTGTTGACACCAACGATAAATTGTGTGCAACTTATAACGTTGCGCGCCGAACTAAAAGATGGCCTATGGTAATGTTACGCGCTCAAGTCGACGATACACTAGCGCCATCTAGTGTCAGGAACGAGAGCGAGGGGAGCATTGAGAAAATGACATCACAAATCACTCAACCGACAGCGCCTAGTCGAAACTCGAACGCTCGGTACCTTGCGCGTGTTTACTTGAACATTCTGGATATTTCTTTGCTAATTTAAATATATAGGGGCTGCAAGATGCGGGGAGCAGAGTTGAACTCGGCGACACAAGCGAAGCTTCGGAGCGGAATTAAGTGAATTAGTGTGTTTAATTATTAGTGTTTTTAGTTTTCATTTGTGTAAAGTAAATTAAAGTGTTAATTTAGGTAATTTTATCGGCAATTTTTATTGTCACGAACCCTAAGCTCGTAACAGTAATATTTTCTCATATTTTTAATGTAGCAGCTATAAACGCTTTTAATATTTATAACATAAAAACAGTAAAATAACAAGAAGGGAATTTTTGAAAAAATCTTCAATAGAATTTGTAAAAAATTATAAAACAAAGAGAGCTGAACTTACTACTCTGCCACGGCCTTCGAAAAGACGACTTCAATGTGATACTGAACTTTCTACTTCTGGAAGCAGTTCAAGTGGTTCCAAAGGCCGTTGTCACCTATGTCCTAGGTCTAATGATAGGAAAACAAAAACCAAATGTGGTAAATGTAACAAATTAATGCGTAATGAACATCTTACAAAAGTTTGTGATTCATATGCCTAATAATTTAAGATAATTTTGATTACTGCTTTAGAAGTTTAAATTTTTGTTATTTCCTAGAAATCCTTCTTTACTTTGTTAATTTAGATGTTGTTCTTTAAGTTTTTGTATATTGTATATATATAGAATATATATTTTCACTTATTTTATATATTTCATTTTCAAAAGTAAATCCTGGGGTCCGTACGGACCCCACGCAACTAATAGTGTAAGTATTTAGGCACGACTAGCTAAAGGTTAAATGCAAATGAAATGCAACTTTTGACCTTTTAATCAATCGAAGTATAATAATCAAGAGAAATGTTGTTTTCTCGTATGAAAAATATTTGTGATCATGCAAAATACATTCATTTAGAATCTGTTCAGAAAACATTTTTCTGTGAAATAGAAACTATAGATTCGTTGCGCTCAGATTATGAAGCTTTGTTGGAAAATTAATAGTCATGAAATGCGAATTAAACCCGATTCTGTAGTGAATTACCAATGACTTTCGTCGTTTGAGGATTTATTATACCACGTAAAGCGAGTTGCTAGGCGGCTCCAACCTGTAGCTCAGAGAGAGGTTAAGCCAGCAGTTCAAGTACACTCACCCGACGCACCTAGATTGTCATCTATAGATATCCCAATATTTAATTGTGATATTAAAACATGGCTGTTTTCCGATCTGATCAAAAGGAGGCTTTAACAATGATCATACAGTGGAAAACTTTATAGTAGCCTACAAAAGGTTACTATGATACACAGAAAGACAATCAAGCGAAAGTGGCGATTGCTTGCCATTAGAAAAAATTGCAGTATTATCTAACAGCTCTATGTCAACAATTGATAAAATTAATAATTTGTCAAATTATAATAAAATATTAACGAGCTGTTGCAAGAAAGTAATGAACCTATCCCAAAGGAAGAAACAGAATGTGACGAGGATCTGGTTCTATAGGATAATACTGCCTCTTTGTGTCTATGATAATAGTTTCTTATATATCTGGTAATGTTCTAAGATTTATGTAAAAAAAATTGGTGTGATGTATGTGTTCAAAGTTTAACGACAAGTTCTTCAGAACTGTTCCATAATTCATTAAATGTAAAAAGAGGTTAATCCAAAACGGGCGACGATGGTTATCTGATATACCCATCAAATGATGATGTCACATTGTTTTGCAGTGCTGAAAATCATTTTAGGCAAAACATAAGGAACAAAAGAATGCATGACTTAATTTTATGCCAAAAATGTATTAAATGATCTGCGCAATATTCAGCGCCTCTTTGATACTTTAAAAAAAACATATTTTAGATCAAGCCCCGTTGGATGACCACAGTTACCTCCTTATGAAAGGTTTTATTGAAATGCACTTTGATCTTCGATTGAAGCACTTCAAATCGATAAAGTTCGATAGAGAACCCTTACGGACCCATTTGAATAAAACTGTTATATTCAGGGGACAGTGAATGATGGCATGTTGTATCTAAAATAAGTAGCAAAGGAAAGCACCTGCAATATTTTAGTACTTACTATATATTTTTGAATCTTCATGCTTTTTATACAAAATCATAAGTAAGCCTTCATTCTGATATCAGAATAGTGAAAAATATTTTTTTAATTTTGCATATTTTTAGTTAATGTACAAGGTTATTCTTTAGATGTGACATCTGCTGTAGTGTGAAATTTATAAACTTTATTTTAGAACTTCGGACTTCATACTTACCTGTTTGGCTAATTTTGAATTGAGTATTAACACTCATAATCAAACAGGTTTTCACACGAATAAATGCAATTCAAATTTTTTTTGCGTTGGTAGTAAAGTCGTAGAACAAAATTTGATCCGTTAGACACCCTAATAAGCGGACAAATAGACGTCACATCGAAATGTATTAACTTTTATAGTCGAGTTCAAAATGAATTCCCTTTTAATTAGTCCTCTTTGAAGATAAGCACTACGATTTATGTTGAATAAAAGTATGTATTTTGATTGCAGTCATATTTTACTATTATAAGGTCAGCATTGTGTTCAAATAAAATATTAAACTTTGTTTCGAATAAAACCCTTATACAAAAAAATTCAGTATGGCAGCCATATTGAAAAATCGAGTTTTTTTTTAAAGTAACTAAATATCAAAAATCTACGGCCCAGAAAATTCCTGCATACAAAATTTCAGCCTAATTGGACAAACTTTTTTCGGCCGCCACTTTGAATCCACTATTTTAATGTTTTTTTTTTATATCAATCAGTTGCTCCTCAACGTTTTGTACAACAATGGTTATCGAGATATCGCAAATTGAACTTTGTTGTAGCCATCTTGTTTTCCACCATTTTTTATTTCTTTCTACCACTGCTCAATTTCAAACATGGTGAACAATATCTAAGTTTTATAGTTTTAGCAGGCTGTAAGGCGACTGCTTGATCTGGAGCAGATTTCAAAGGTCTGGAAGTTTTCTCATACTCATCGTCAGTCACCTATCAAACCTGTGAATGTTGTGGTGTACTGCATAGACTCCTTCGAGTAGCGCGTGACAGAGAAGGACTTGAACATTGAGGTGTATATTTGCCTAACATAAAACAAATGTTTGGTGAGATCAAATTTGAAGTTGAGCTATTGTTTTATTTGTTTTCTTGGAAGACCATACGCTAAGACGCTACCGTATCTTTTCGGTACTATATTCAAGTAGCAGCAACAGCGAAGTCAAAGAAATAGAAGATAGCACGTACTGTCTACTTGACAGTTCTACCGCGCATTGGATCTTTGCCAACGATTTGATCCAACAAGTCGTTAATATTGTATGTATGTATTGATTATAGTGATTCCAACAGGCTGTAAAACAACAATGTACTGCTCTTGCTTCTTTTACAAGTAGAAATTAGGTGTAAAAAATCAATAGCTTTATCCATATCTATGTTACGTACTCCTCGTAATAGTCCTTGCAATATGTGTTATTTCAGAAGACTAAGAAGAAATAAATGTAGAAGCTCTAAATTTAATCCGAAAGCGTAAACCTGTTGAACTCATTTCTCGCGTTACTAAGATACTGAAAGAAGCAAAACACCAATTTTTGTAAAGGGCGGTCGAGCAAAATGTCGATTTACGTTTTCGGTAATGATTCGTGCTACCAGCAGGCTTTTGTTGAAGCTGCAACATATTTTTGTTTCCACGGGAACTGTAATTTTAAAATCAAAGAACATCATTTCAATTCATACACATAAAAAACGTTCGGAATTTCAAACGAAACACCCAAAAGATTTTGCCTTTAGACAGACTGACCTTATCGAATTGAAAGGGTTTCTGGCTCTGCTTATTTATTCCGCTATTTGCAAATCTAATAGAGAAAGCGTTCTGTCATTATTCGCAACTGACGGCACTGGGCGTGAAATATTCAGGGCATCTATGTCTAAAAACAGATTTTTGGCATTGCTATTGGCGCTTCGCTTTGATGATGCTTCTGATCGTGAAATCCGGAGGCAAGTTGATCCTGCTTGTCTTATCACTGACATATTACAGGCATTTGTTAAAAAGAGTCAGAACAATCATTCGATAGGTACTAACGCGACCGTCGATGAAATGCTCATAGAATTTAGAGGACGATCACGATTCAAAATGTACATGCCCAACAAGCCGGGGAAATACGGTTTGAAGATGCATTGCTTAGTAGATTCGGAATTTTTTTTGTTTGCAACATCTATTTATATACCGGTAAAGGTTTCGATGGATTTGGTTTGACTGAAGAAGAGAAAATGAAATCGGTACCAACACAGGCCACACTCCGCTTGTGTTAGCCTATTTTCAACACAAACATTAATGTTACCACAGACAACTGGTATACCTCAATGGAATTACTTCAAGAATTGAAGAAAAGAAGCTTGACAACAGTAGGTACACTAAAAAAAACAAAAGAGTCATTCCGAAAGAATTTCTCCCGCACAAAGACAGGCCTGTGGAAATGTTCCGTGTTTGGATTTACCAAAGAGTGTACTCTTGTCAGCTATGTCCTAAAAAAAAATAAAGCTGTTGTGCTATACTCTTCCATGCACCATGACCACACTATTGACAGGAATACTTGGAAAACCTGAACTAATTTTGTATTACGATTCAATCAAAGGAGGTGTTGATACGGTTGACCAAAAATGTTCGGTGTACTCGTGCAGTAGAAGGACGACACGTTGGCTTATGGCTGTGATCTTCAGGGTTGTTGATATGGCATGTTGCAATGCGCAAGTTATCTATGAAAGCCAAAGTGATGTACCAAAGCTGAAAAGATTGGAGTTTTTCTAAAGCATCGCAGAAAACCTATATCAAAATATTTGATGACACGTTTGCATAGTACACGTTTGCCACGCCAAATTCGCAGTTCGATTTCATATATCTTGAAAAAAGATATTCCTGAAGACGCTAGCCACTCTGAAACCGAAGACAAGTTACCCAGAACAGCAAAAAAATATTGTTACTTATGTCAATACAAAAAGAGAACAAAGACTGCACCTTTATGCACTGAATGTCTGAAGCCTGTATGTTTGAGTTGCTCAAAAAGGGTATGCCGTCGTTGCCTGTAAGCGGTGGCAAGACCCATTGCACATTTTCTATTTTTGTACATGCATACATTTTTGTTGTATTATTTTTGTTTTGTATACCTTTGAAAGGCTTATAGAGATAAAAAAGATATATTAGTTAGGATATTTGTTATTTTTGTAGAGGTCTAAAAATACTTTTGATTTTTGAGACTGTTAGAAAAAGTTTCTTTAATTTTTAAGAGGATTTGAGAAGTTTATTCAGTTTTGTTATTTTTTTCAAGTACCTTAATTAATATTTAAGAATAATTATTAAAAAAATTAAAACAAGAGTTTTATTTGTTTTATTTATAGGTGTTTACGTTAGCAAATTTAGCTATTTTTTCACTTTTTGGATATTGAAGTGTGGAATGCGTACCTACTTTCTTTTCACGAAATATAAGAAAGGAAATTCTGTCGCATATCGCAACAAAAACTATAGAGATGAACTTTTCTAGTATACGATTGAATTTGATAAAAATAAAACAGGAAGGCCCGGTTCTCACTACGCCGGACCGGCAGATCTGCCGGAAACCGGACACCGGACAGAGTGTTCACATTACATCGAATCCCGGAAGAAATTCAGACAGTCAAGTACATCTCAGTTGAATTTGGACCTGCGCGCACAATGGACGACGAAATTGTTGTGTTGTGGTGGTATCTTAATACATAGAAGTCAAAATAAAAGAAAACATTGCGTACACCCTATTTTACGGGAAAGATTTTCACTTGGAACATTTGAAACATTAATGGGTGAACTTAGAAGAGACGAATCAAAGTTCTTCAATTATTTTCGAATGACAGCAACCACTTTTGACAATTTACTGGGACGACTAGACATAAGAGTACGAGATACAAGTTTCAGAGAATGTGTTTGCCCAGAACAAAGATTAGCCATATGTCTAAGGTAAGATTATTTTATGCACTAAATTGCGTAATAATAGTTTTGACGTAGGTACCTACTTAAGACTGAATGAATGAATGAATGTTTGCTATATATGTTTGTTTGATGAATGTGAATATATATAATGTGTGTGTGTGTGGGAGGGTGTATGTACTTGATAATCATTATGAATTAAAAATGCAAATAACTTATTTAAGTATTTATTTGTACTCAAATTTAAATCCCTTCAAAATCAAAGTAATTTGAGTCTTGGGAATGTATGGAATGATTACTAGATGCTGATGGCGAAGCTGGAATCGGATTCGATGTCTGAGATGAAGTTGATGGTATAGATGTTGTTGCCTGTTGATTGCTACTATTATATTGCGTAGAGTATCCAGGGTGGTGTTGATCTTGCGTAGGTGTTGCCTGTTGATTGACGCTATTATGTGTGTAGTATCCAGAATACTGATCTGGTCCGGTCTTCTGATTATATGAATCACGCCAATGTCCGTAATTTGGTCTCTCATAGTTCCTACTTTTAATTTTTTGCAACATTGTCATGACGCTAGCTTGAAATTCTAAAGTCTCTTCGGTAGTTAAAGTGTTCAAGATTGGTATAATGCCTTTGAAGAAAGACAGATGATGGTTTTCCTTTTCTGGGTTTATTCTGGAGTCCAAAAACTTTACCATCCTGTCATTTACCACTTTATTATCAATTTTTCTTTTATCTTTAATTAAAGGTGAACGAAAATTTGATTCCATGCCTACTTCAGTCTCAGTTCTTGCTTTTTTTGAAACTGACTCATGTGGTGGTCGAGGTTCGGAGACTTTTTTCAAAAACATTAATTGCTCGTGATATAAATAATTTCGTGTCTTTTTGGCCGAAGATCCAGATTTAGACTCATCTTCTTGTTTCTTTACTGTCTTAAGCCACGAATCTCGTATATTATTCCATTTAGTTGAAACCTGTTTCCCTGAAATCAATAAAAAAATATCATAAAACAATACAATTTGTTTCTTGGTGACGTATAAAGTAATAATGTATTAACAAAAAATAGTTTTTTTTTTTTCAGATATTTAGCTTCAGGATGTTCATTCAAAGAAATACATTACTCATACAGAGTAGGCGTTTCGACAATAAGTAAACTAATAAAAGAAATGACCCATGTCATTTGGGAAAACCTAAAGACGGATTTCCTTAAGCTACCTGATACTGAGAGAGAATGGGAGGACATGGCTTCAGGATTCGAAAGAAAAGCCAACTTTCCTCACTGTCTTGGAGCAGTAGATGGCAAACATATCAGAATTTTGAAACCAGCCAAAAGTGGTTCTATGTTCTTTAATTACAAGGAGTATTATTCTTTTGTATTAATGGCAGTTGTCGATTCAGAGTACCAATTTATTTTTATTAGAGTGGGCTCATATGGCAAGGAATGCGATTCTACTATATTAAAGGATAGTACATTTTGGCAAAAGATCAATGATGGTACTTTAAATGTACCAAAGCCTAGACCGCTTCATGAAAACTTGCACGAAGAATTACCGTTTATACTTGTTGGCGATGAAGGTTTTGCTTTAACACCTAATCTCCTACGTCCATATGGAGGTACACATTTGAATACTGATAAAAAGATTTTTTAACTATAGACTAAGTCGAGCAAGAAGGTATGTTGAGTGCGCTTTTGGTATTCTGGCAAATAAGTGGCGAATAATCCATCGAGCTATAGATCTGAACGTAGACACAGCAATTCAAGTAATTAAAGCTTGTACAGTCCTACATAATTTTGTAAGAGAAAAAGATGGTATAAATTTTGAAAGTTACCAAAATATAGAACATAGACAAGAACAAGAAACGACACCCATGGATCGGAATGTGTCGAGTCGAGGTGGCCCTAATGCGTGGCCCTAGAGCCGTTGGCAACGCTATACAGACATCATTTACTAATTATTTTGTTTCGGATATTGGTTCCGTTCCGTGGCAGGCAGCAGCTATAAAATAAAATTTATCAATGCATTTACATTTTATCAATAAAACATTAAAAACTCACCGTACTGTTTTCTTTCTTTTTCAACCAGTTCATCGAAGTTTGGTTTCAGTATTAAACATACTTCACGCCATGCTGCTAACTTTAAGTTTTTGTCTTTATAGATGTCTTCGGTCTTATCCCACAGAACAGGTCTCTCTTGGACAAGCGTAATTAAAGTTTCTGCTTGAATATCCATGCTAAACGTCTACTTTTACCAGAAAATGCGAGCCGAATGACGTGAGTGGAACACGGGCGGCGCGAGGGGAGCACGAGCGGGGCGAGCGGGGGGACAGATACCGGCACAAACTCGTTCACATTACTCCGGGCCCGGTCGTTCTACCGGCAATTCGTAGTGACAAAACGCTCAATAAAAATGCCGGGTTCGGCAAAAATGCCGGACCCGGGATAATGTGAATAGCACAGTAGAAATACATATAAATTGTACAGCCACTAGCCCTTCCGGCAGATTTACCGGCGCGACAGATCTGCCGGTCCGGCGTAGTGGGAACCGGGCCGAAGACTTAACGCTTTATGGCGCCATGTTGCACTTCAGCGACATAGCATTCAAATTGGCCTAATAATATAGCGATCAGATCCGATACATCGACTATTCTCGGTGTTATACATCGGCAACAAAGCATTCTAAATATTTAGTAACAAATTAGCTAACTAAATGTCCACAATTGTATTTATTTTGCATTGAAGTTATGAGTGCGGTCAAACCGTTTTTGCCCTCTTTGAATTCATTAACGAAAAGTGATTTATTGGTGAAATACTTATTTTTTGGCTATTGAAATTGATATACGTAAAAAGGTACTTATCTTTCTACGTACATCAATACGAAGAGTGAATTTCAATAAGCAACAACATTTTTTTAAAAATCCAAGCATTATTTTCATTTTTGAACTGATTTTATTTTGTTGCATACATACAACACTGCGTGTTTGTAATTGTTTTTTTTTTTACCGTTAATTTCAATTTGAATATTTCTTTTTCAGTATCAAAATGAGTTGTAATTATTATTCAGGAGCTGGAAAATATACTAGGAGAATGAGAAGACAGTGAAGATTGTTTTGATTTTTCCGACGACTACGATATCGCCAATCCCAATTTCTAATGCTTCCCCAACGCATAAAGTCTTGCTAGTGCTGGATAATCATTCCTCGCATATCCATATTAACACGTTGGATTTTTGTAAAGAAAATGGAATCACTTTGCTTTCATTTCCTCCACACTGCTCGCATAAACTGCAGCCCTTAGATCGATCTGTCTTTGGACCCTTCAAAAAAGCAATAAATACTGCTTGCGATGGATGGATGCGGAGTCACCCTGGAAAAACTATGACGATTTACGATATACCAGGCGTTATCAAAACTTCTATGCCTCTGGCTTTTACACAAGCGAACATAAGCGTAATCTGTTCCAAGAAATCGACTTTGCACCGTCTTTTGTAACGGACAGACCAAACCCTGAAACTGAAGAGAATAGTCCCGCAGCACCATCTCTTGTACCGGACAGAGCAAACTCTGACATTGGAGAGACTAATTCTGCAGAACCATCTTTTGTAACGAACAGAACAAATCTTGACACTGAAGAAAACAATTCTGCAGCTAACAATGAAATACCATCGACACAAGAATTTGATTTTTTAGCTTCCTTTCAAACAGACGGACCAAACCCAGACGATGGAAACAACAATCCTGGATCGATCGATGAAATACCGCAACATTCAGCTTCTTTAATGGGTGAATCTTCAACTTCAAATCAAAGCAATTTTCAACCAACTGCGTCATCCTCAACCACGCCACTTGTTTTTTCGCCTGAAATTATTCGGCCTTTTCCAAAGGCTCTCCAAAGAAAAACAAAAAGTTCCAGAACCAAAAAAATCGACCATATATACAGAGACGCCTGAAAAAGAGACGGTTAGGCAAGAATATGAAGAAAAAGAGAAACGGTTGAAGGCTAAGCAGGTAAAAATAAATCTTGCTGAACCAAAAGGGAAAAACAAAGGAAAAAGCAAAGAAAAGAAAAGGAAGACACCACCGTCGTCATCGGATAAAGAAGAGTATTTCTGTATAATTTGTATGGGCGCATATTCTGAAAGTAAGGCTGGCGAGAAATGGATCAAATGCCAAGGAAAATGTGAGCTCTGGTCCCACTTAGAGTGCGCAGGTGGTAGTCGCCATTATATTTGTCATAACTGTAATGAGTCTGACTAGGTCTCGGCATCTTATTTTTTTTTAGTTTTTATTACTAAGAACGAACCTTAGATGCCTTCTATTTTTTGATTTTGCATGTTGATACTTACACAAATGTTTAGTTTTTGTTGAAGGAGAGGTTTTGAATAAATATTTACTTTGTATTTTAACACAGTTACCCCAATATATTAGAAATGTTTAGTTAAGTTTTTTGACTGATTGTAATATGAAGACTGTTATAATAGATCTGTTTTGTAGTTATACTGATTAGATTATAATTAAAGACTGTTATATAGTACTCGTAACTGTAGACTCTACAGTAACATTTTTTTATTTAGTTGTTTTAAGCCATAAAAGTGTTCCTAGACTTTATTTCTTTTGTTATGTTAATGTTCAATTTATCCAGAAGAAGATTTATGTTGCCTTATGTAAGATATTATTTGTAGTGAAAGTGATTTATAAACTGTTTTTGTGTATTTTTGAACCTGTCACTACCGACCCCAAGCACTGTCACAACCGCCCCTGGGGTGTGGTCGGTTGTGACATTATTCCTTTTTTTCCTGATTTGCTCGTGTAAGGTAACCATTGTACATAAGTGCAAAATTTTTGTATTTTTACGTAGATAAATGTATACTTTAATATAAAAGACATCTTTCTTCCAGTTAAGTGGCATACTAACAAAATTATCGGCGATCCATTGAAAATTGTCACAACCGTACCCAGTCTACCCTACACATTTATTTGACACGTTACCTCCAGAAATACTTCGTTTTGATATAGCTTTTGAGGAATTTTTATATCTGTTTACTGAAAATATAATCAACCTTAAAAGAAACCAGACTAACTTATACTCTCTTTAAAAAGATTTTAACGTGGTGTTAGTCGCTTAGAGAGATATCAATATCGTCACTCTAGCATCGAAATTGCAGCATCTAACATCTGTAGCTAGAAAATGGGAAATTGTCTGGAAAGCAATACATTTTCGTTAAAAGTCTTTTTGTCGTAGCGGAATATGATCGATATATGGGTGGTTTCGATCTAATCGAAATTGTGTTATGGGCCCCTACAGTTAAAAATCTGTACTAAACATTGGTATCTACGAATTTTTATCATTTCTAAGACGTAGTTATGAGTAGTTCATGGCTTTTATACCGAAGAATAAATGCTGAAAAGGGTAGTAGCAGTAAAACTCTCAACTCTGCTGAATTTAGAATAGCTATAGCGGAGACGTTTGCAAATATGTACTTATAAGATAATCAACCGTACAAAGTGCGGAAGTAATGTTGAATATCTTTTTCAAGATAAAAAGAGGAAGTGTCCAGTTCAACATGTTCCTCCGAAAGGTAAAGTTGCACTAATACGGTCAGTGGTCAGTTTGGGTGGATAAGCGAATGAGGTGCAAATTTCTAGGCTGCAAAAGATACACGCAAACAGTTTACGAAATATATGGAGTTAGTTTGTGTAAGAAATTTTTTTTTTAAATTCGTATTTTCCAACTTTCTTTAATATTATTTAGCATTATATATGCAATATTGCATTCCTGTGGTAGATTTTTTGAATAATAAATACCTTTTTTTAATGGTATTTTTGAACTATTTTTCCCATTAATAATAACCCATTTGCCACATAGCATATGTTAAATTAACAAACATAATGATCGTGCGCCATAAAGGGTTAATAAGCAACACCAGACTGAATTGCATTTTCATTGACAATTTTCCTGAAGCAAAGAATTCAAGAAACTCCTCATCCCCCAACTAGACAATGTTTACTCCGCTGAATATAACGTCAGTGGTCACTGATTCAGGGTACGTTAAAAGTTTAATTTTTTGTTCCAAACAAAATATTAGAAAAGAAATAAGCTATCGTTGTAAAGGGTTCCCAGTGAAACCGCTCGCGGTCCAGGCTGTCACGAAGTTGATCATGAAAGCCTAAAATAAATCGATACCTCCAATTTACACTACGCCAACTCGGATTTTGTAGGTTTACAGGAGAAGCTCTTAAAGAAAAAACAGTGATAACTTTTTTATTATCACACCTATATTAATGATATTTTCAGGATGAATAAATAATTTGCTGTTACTTCTAACTGCATATTATTGGATTTTAATTATTTTTAAAAGTTTTAAAATTAGCTCTAGTTAGCGGAGTTTAAGACGGAAAAATGTCATTTGAGATTCCTTTACACTCCGCCAACTCACAGTTAGCGTAGGTATCTCGGAATATGAAAGAACTCCCAAAATCTTAATCAAACACATACTAGAATATTATTACGTATTAATTTTAAAGTACATCCAATAATAGAATTATTTTAGTGCTTCAACTAACATATCTTGATAAAATGTTCTTTTATTTCTAAATTTAAAAAGTAAGCGTTTTGTAATCGGGAAAGTACTAAAATCAACTACCGTTTTACAAGCCGCTAACACATACATAGCGTAGAATAACACGCGCAGTGTTAACAGTTAGCGTTTTTTTTTGACACAAAATATGAATAAAATCGTATGTTTTTCCAATATTTTATATTAAAATTTACAAAATTGGTCAAAACAATATTATTGTAAATACTAATAACATGTTACAAATATACTGAATTACCAAAATTATTTATAATTAATTTCTTTTTTGGTAGTGGGTAATATACCTAAGTTGGAAATGAAAAAAAAATGTTTTTATATTAGTAAATATAAAATTTTAACCTTATATAATCACTGTATAAACGTAATTGTTTAATAATATAGAGATCGATCAGCACAATTGGTGAGAACTAAACTAACTTTTTAATTAATACAAAAGAATTAGAACAATCTCAGCTACAGTCAAGATTCCCATAAAATTAACCTCAAATTCTTTTATGAAATAGTACACGTGACTCAAACATTTTTAATTAATATAATCGCTTAAATTACTTAAACTGTTTACGGGATCAATCAGCATGTTTCACTCCATAACTACGAACTTACTAAACAATTATTCTGAATAAAAAAACTGAAATGGT